ACCTAAATGGATGCAGCGAGGTTTCATGGATCCGTCTGATAAAATTCTTTCCATGCTTGTTAACAAAATGATAGTCATGTTACGTGATGCCCCTAATGCAGAATCTCCTAAAAAGACTTGAAGTAACATGATCAAGTAACATAATTAAACAAAAGTGTTTACATTATGATGAGAGACAGTATATTTAATCTCTCTATGTTGTATATACAAAATTTTAATCTGAAAGTGCTTCTATACTATTTTATTCTCGACATGTAAAAAAATATTGTATTTCTAAGTTATAATGATATTCAATGACTGAATCAAGGATTTTATTGAAATTTATTTCTAGAAACAGATGTATTCAGGAATTATAATTCTAGTTATAGAGATTTTTGCACAGGATATATGGCTTAATATAACCAGTTATAATCTTACAATAAATGAACCACAGTACAATGATTATATAGCAAATTAAAACCACATCGTCTGTCAAAATCTTTGTATCAAATTGATGATACTGCACTATTATTTGCATTCTTTAAGATACATTTATCAAGCAGCTGTGTATAATTATGGATAATACAATTGTCCAATTAAAATTGATGTTACAATCATGCAGTATTACAATATGTATCTACAAAATTTCTATTCATTATTTGACATTGTCTTTCTGATAACCCAGTAGTAAACTGGTCTGCAGTGTGTGACTTGAATTCCTTTGATGACATAAATTTATAAACATGACATAATTTTACTAGGTGTTTATAGGGTGTAGATGTATGTACATGTAATTATATTCTAACTAGAGAAATGATATGTCAAAAAAACTTTTTGGAAGTTAATAGACTTTGAAATATGCCTTTTTGGAGAACATTTTTAAAAAATATACATATAAATCAAACAATCAGTCGTAATATTTTTGTTTTACAGCCTTTTGTCTATGACTGTGTGAATCACTTCCCTTGCATGAATCACACAATTAGGTTTAGATGATGTGATAGAGAAGCTGAGAGTCATGCTAATGTACATGTTAATTGTTAAATGTGATTGTAATTGAATGATACATGCACCTTTTTTGTTTGTTTGTATTTACTGAAAAATTGTTTTCAAAGCAATCCTCGAACACTTAACATCAAACAACTTGTTTTCTGTTAATTTTAAATAGTAGTATGGTATTTTTCACTATTATATTATTTTTTATGATTTTAAAGGTACAGAATTAAAAGTGTTGTGGTTTTACCTTAGATGTTACTTTTCCATTTGCTCAATAAATCATTATGTTATTTCTGCATAATATTCAGTTTCATACCGTTTATATATGTAGTAATTATATTTTTGTGTGGGTTATTTTCGAATTTTTTTGTAATAATGAAATTCTATTTATAGCAATTGTATTAAAAATATTATATAAGTGTTTCCTGCTTAATTCTTTCAATGAATTATGTTTTAAAAATTGAGCAGTCCGTTTTGGAATTTAAGGAACTTCATTTAAAAAAAAATATATGAATAGAGTCTGGTAGATTTTCAGAGGACGCTTTACACTGTTGATTACCTAATTTAAATTTTAATCATGATACCCCTAACTTGACAATGGACTGTTACAGAAAATAGACTTCAGTCGGATAAGGGCCGGTGATTTCTTCTTAAAATAAAAAAAAATGAAAATCAATGTTTGAAATGAAAATTTCAATGTTCTCTCTGTTTTGGGGTTATATTATTGGAAAGTCTAGTATGATTTTACAATTGTGAATAAATGGTTATGTTTATTTTTGTACATATGAAATCTCCATATTTGAAAAAAGTAGATTCGTAGTTAGGTTGTATTGTTTTATTATGTCTCCCCCACCTCGGGGGGAGACATATTGTTTTTGCCCTGTCCGTCCGTCAGTCTGTCAGTCCGTCCGTCAGTCCGTCCATTCTTCGTTTCCGGACGATAACTAGAGTTCCTTTTGACCTACAGCCCTCAAACTTCATAGGATGATTGGTCTTATAGAGCTGATGATCCCTATTGTTTTTGGGGTCAGTAGGTCAAAGGTCAAGGTCACACTGACCGTTGGTCAATTTCTCGTTTCCGGATGATAACTAGAGTTCCTTTAGACCTACAGACCTCAATCTTCATAGGATGATTGGTCTTATTGAGCAGATGATCCCTATTGTTTTTGGGGTCAGTAGTTCAAAGGTCAAGGTCACAGTGACCGTTGGTCAATTTCTCGTTTCCGGATGATAACTAGAGTTCCTTTTGACCTACAGCCCTCAAACTTCATAGGATGATTGGTCTTATAGAGCAGATGATCCCTATTGTTTTTGGGGTCAGTAGGTCAAAGGTCAAGGTCACAGTGACCGTTGGTCAATTTCTCATTTCCGGATGATAACTAGAGTTCCTTTTGACCTACAACCCTCAAACTTCATAGGATGATTGGTCTTATTAATCAAATGATCCCTATTGTTTTAATGGTCAGTAGGTCAAAGGTCAAGGTCACAGCGACCGTTGGTTAATTTCTCCTTTCCGGATGATAACTAGAGTTCCTTTAGACCTACAACCCTCAAACTTCATAGGATGATTGGTCTTATTGAGCAGATGATCCCTCTTGTTTATGGGGTCAGTAGGTCAAAGGTTAAGGTCACAGTGACCATTGGTCATTTTCTCATTTCCGGATTTCTCCATTTCCATTCCTGTTTCCATTCACAGTTATTCTCAGCAGTGGGGGAGACATGCGCTTTTTTACAAAAGCATCCTCTAGTTTTATATTTTCGTGATATTGAAAATATCAGAAATATGCCCTGGTTTATATTCTGTAGTCAAGGATGGGTGGGGTAACAAATATAAACCTTTCAAAGTGCAATACTATATAAATTTTAAGGCTTCTGTTTTTTTTCTGTCATGCTTTATATTGGATTTTTTACTGTTTTGCTATATGATTCCATTTGCATTTATTATTACCTCTAAGTAACTTTATGTTCTGTTGTGTCACAAATTTTAGCATTTTATGCTTTTTCTTTTTTTTTTCTTTTCTCTTTTTTTTTTGTTTCTTAAAATTGTCCAACACAATATTTTATTGGATACCTTGGTCCTGTACAAGGATTATAGACAGTGACATTAATTTGTAAAGGGTAACTTTAGTCATTCAAAAGTTATATAGGTTTCAATTTATTTCTGTATTAAGCTGTTGCATTATCCGCTTGAAGTTATTTTAATTTTTCTGATAAATTATTATCTCCCTTGACAAAAGGGCAAAAAAATTAATTCTGTATTGTTAACAAAAATGATTGCGAAAGAAAATAATTGTCTTTCTTGACAATATATACCACTTATTTTCTGCCTCAACCATAAAATTAACCATTGTCTCCCTTTAAAATATAGTATTTTAATTACTTCGCAACTGAATGAAAATAATTGACTTTCCTAGCAACACATTAAGGTAATTGATTTATTAGCAACACAATAGATTTAGTGTCTGTCTTAGCATCACTAAGGAAGAAATCCTGCCAGGGACTTTGAATTTTTTCATGTGAGGAATCTATATAGCTATCTTATTGAAGGTCGGTAATTCTACCCAGGTGCTCGCTTGCACCTGAAATAATGCACAGAGGGGTGCCTGGTGTCTTTCTAGAAAGTCGCTATAGTATGACCTTAACAGTGTTAGTGCGACAATAAAAAGGTCTCTTAGAAACACAATCATTTTTAGAATTATTTTTCTCTTTATTGAAAATAAAATAATTGTCTATCATAATAATTGTCTATCAACACATTAAATTTTATCTTTTCTAGCAACACAATATAATTATTGTCTCTCTTAGTTGCAAATAAAAATGATGTACGTCCTTAACAAAACAATGAAATTATTGTTTTCTTAGCAACACAGTATGACCAAATGGTAATGGCCCTTGACTTCGAGCCACTTGCCCCTCACTGCTGTGGGTTCAAATCCCACCAGGGACATTTGATTCTTTCATGAGATCTCCCTCTACCAGTGTAAAGCTATAATGTCGCCATATGATTGTGTTACAATGTCGCCATATGATTGTTGCACAAACCTTGACTCTCTTAGAAACACAATTAAATCATTGTTTTGGGTTTTGTAATGCAAATAAAATAGTCTTCCATAGCAACACATAATAGTTGCTCTCCTAGCAACACAATGAAACTATTGTCTCTCAAAGCATTGAAATAGAATAATTGTCTCTTTTGATTGCAAATAAAATAATTGCCATTCTAAGCAACACATTTAAAATTATTGCTTTCCTAGCGATACAATTAAATTATTATCTGTAACATAATGAAATCATTGTCCTTGATCTGTAAGAAAAATAATGCTATAAGTTGTCATTTAAATTGTAAGGACTGTTTTTACGTTGATTAAGTTCATGCAAGTGTATTGTGAATAATTATTACAAGGAGATATATCTCACTCAGTGAGTTAATTATGTTTTAATTAGCTTTCAGTTTTTATAAGAAAATAAGAAAATATATTCATGTACTATATGTTAAACATTTTATTATAAAATAAATGATTATGTACAAATTTATATACGCTTCCTGTCTTTTTGCTGTTGTTCTGTGTGTTGGTTCCTCCCCAGCCATATACTGTACTGTAACGGCTACATGTTTATTTATTCTTCATTTATGTTTCGTACAATTTCAGTTTAATAACAATATACTAATGTAAAATAAAAAAGTTATATATCACTTTAGATTATGTTGTAAAGATTATCAAATATTACAATTTGATTCAAATACTCGACAGCGTATACCTTCATGATCTATGTATGATTTCCTTGTTATTGTTGTTGATGATAATAAAGCCATATTATATATTGAAATTCAGTTGATGTTTTTCTTTCTTTATCTTTTTAACCAGCAACAGATTCAATTGATACAACCAGAGCAAATCAAGATAGGAGGCCAATCTGTGATGTCTGATCATGATTTGCACTGCTTAATATTCAATCAGTAAATGTGTTGATAAATGATGAAAAGATAATCTACTTCTCGAAATATGCAAACGGAAAGAAAAATGTCACAATTACAAATATATTTTTATTGTGGTTTATAATAAGCCTATCAGGTTTTTGTAGAAAAATAAATTTCCAGATATTTTACTACACATTTTAAGAACTGTTGATATTGTATTGATTCATCTGTGTCCAAGTTTATGACAGTTTATGCATGTAAATGAAGTCATAATTTGTATCAGAAGTTGAACAGTTACAACTGAAATACAACTTCTTTGTTTCATCAGACCAACATACAGCAAAAGGATCAATCACATCCTGCAGTACAACCTTTCCTGTAGAGCAGTCTTCCGATATCTCTTCTATAATATTTCTGTCCCAGCCACACACAAAGACAGTACCATCATTTGATGGTGATATTCCTCTTGGTGCACCTGCACAGCCATAGCTACCTACTACATCACCCTGCCAGTTTAATCTTGTTACTGATTTCATCTTCCTGTCAGATACATAGATAGAACTTTTGTTACATGTTACATAATCTGGGTCTTTGAAAATAATTTTATCATCAGTTGTTGTCAGTATAGTGCCATTCATTTCAAGGATCTGGAGTTTTCCAGGATAACGGTATGTCACAAAAAGTTTATCTTGGTAACAGCTTATACCATGACAGTGTCCATTTACTTTCATAGTGTCCTTCTTTTTAAGTTTGTTTGATGAGATTGATATAAACTGTATTGTTTGTTTGTAAGTATGTGTGACAGCAAGTTTAGTACTGGTTACTGTGGTGATACCCCATGGTGAATCATTTAGTTGTAGATGATATGACACGGATTGACTGCTGGTATCCACCATCTTTACAGCATCGTTTTTGTAGTCAGTGATGATAAGAAGATCAGGAGTCAGCAGAGTCATTCCTGTTATCCAGCAACTGTCTTTATCTTTTGATGTCTTCACGCAGATATCTCCCTGATGTGAAGATTGTCGATACTTTATTTGTACAGATGGAGATTTAATTTTTAAAGTTCTTTGTATCAATGTACCCAAAGACTTCTCTGTTTTAAGACGATCTAATATTGCATCATTCGTTTTTAACTTAAATTCTTTGATATCATATGATGAAAGTTGAAGTTTCTTTCCGTCCACATTTTTCATTGTTTTCTCTGCAAGTTTAAGTTCCATGAAGAGTTTATCAGCTTCTTTTGATGTGTTGAGTTGTTTAATGGTATCTGATGATGTTTTCAGACATTTGGTTATATCTTCACATATTTCTTCTACTGCTTTCAGATGTTTGTTGTTTTCTTTTTGTATGACATTAGCTGCATCTTCAATCTGCCTTTCCAGTTCATCAAGTCTTTGGTTGATTTCTTGCCGGAACATTTTAATGTCTGCTAGTGCATCTTTAAGAGAGCTGTTGGACTTATTTGTCATCTTTTTGGCATCTTCCACAAACTGCTGATACTGGTCAGAAGTGCTATTTACTGCTTTCAAATATATCTTGACATTCTTTGCTGTCTATTATATTACCAGAACTATTGGGTATATAGTTGACTTTGCAGAATGTCGCTTGGTGTTCAAGGGTAACACAAACACTGCAGAGTAATTCTTTATGGTCGTGACAGTAGAACTTGATAATTTCTTTCGCGTGTTTGGAACAGGGTGTGGTAAGATTATCAGACTGGCCAGTGTGGGTGGATGATGTGGGTTGATGCAGAACTTTAGGCATTCTTGTTGCATCCAGAAGTGTATGATGTTTGGAAAGTTTATGCTTTTTATGGACTGTGAAACAATTCTTGCATAAATGTTCCTTGCAATCTGTGCAGTAACCATGGGCAGGAATTCTGGCTCCTTCCTCGTCACAAGGTTGACAGTAAACTTGAAGATATTCATCTGATGCAATGGATTGTGTTAAAGATGAAAATTGTTTTAATGCTTTTTTGCCTGAAACAGCCATGTTTTATCTGAAATGTATTATAAATGTTTTTATTTTATGTTTGTGTAATTTTCGTTTTGTGAATTTATAGAACTTGAGCAAATAATTTGAAACATGGACAATATTTTACTAACTGTTCTTGTATCTTTTGTGAACAAATGGTCAAATAATATATACCAATCATATCTTGTTGACGTGCATCATGGGATTTACATTGACAAACATGATCACCATATGCTGACAATGTTGTGAAAGATCCACGTCCACACCTTCAAAGTTAAGGCTGACTTAAAGGTCAAGGTCAAATCCTGTACAGCCTATAAATTGGTCATTATTTGATGGATGTTTAAATATAACACAAACTATGTCCCCACCCCCCCCCCCCACCCTCAGGGCAATGATAAGAACAAGGTCTACATGGAGGTCATAGGTCAAATCTTGTCTGGCTTAAAATTAAATCATTTCGTGATGTCCAAATATTGGAAGTAAAAATGTTGAATGTATGATATGGACACATTTCTAGCCTATTGATACATGGTACTTTATATGAATGCATGTACATGTAATATGTTCCTTGACAAATTAGGCTAAATTAATCATGATAGTGGAAAATTTAACATAAAGTTTTCTTTGAAGTTCTTGAGTTTATGGCTTTTATAATAAAACGTTTTGATACCTGTTGTAAATAAAGCGATTTAAAACACTGTAGTTTGAAAAAAATTGTCTAGTCATCTTAAAAATTAAGTCATTTTTACCTCACTTGTCACAAAGTAACATGGTGAGCTGTTGTGATCGCTTTTCGTCCGTCTGTCCGTAAACTTTTACTTTAAACGACATCTCAAAAACTGCTAAGCCAATTTCATCCAAACTTCACAGGTAGTCAACTTTAAAGATTGTTCAAAGGATTTAATTCCATGAATGAAACATTGTCAAGTCAGTGTCTACCAAGTTTGTTCAAATACATGCCCTGGGTCCAAAATTGGCCACGCCCCGGGTTTCTCTTATTTGTATATAGTAGAAACTTATAAAATCTTCTTGTAAAAAACCCAAATGACTAGAGCTTAGATATTAACCATGAAACATCTTCCAGTGGATGTCTACAAAGTTTGTTCAAATAAAAGCCCTGGGGTTAAAATTGGCCCCGCCAAAGGGGTCATTGTCTTTCCCTTTATTTGTATAGTAAAAACTTAAAAAATCTTCGTTTAAAAACCCAAAGAGCTGGAGCTAAGATATATAGCATAAAACATCTGGGTGTTTACGAAGTTTGTTCAAATATGGGTCCTTGGATTAAAATTGGCCCCGCCCGGGTGTTCATTCATTTTCCTTATATGTGTATAGGAAAAAGTTTGTTCAAATAAAAGCATATGGGTTTCAATTGGCCCGGTCCTGGGGGCTTATATACAGGTGAGCGAATTCAGGGCCATGATGGCCCTCTTGTTAATAGACTTGAAAAAAGAAATTGTACTTTTTTTAGGGTTTTTTTTTTGTCAAATTTACCTTTTTATTTAGGTTAATTTCTCAAATACTATCAAAGATACTCATTTTTTACTTCGAATACTTAATCACTATAAAAATTACAATGCATTTATAAAGGACAAATGACCCCAAAAAGCCTTTTATATTCAATTGACATTACAAGGCATGATTAATATTGTTAAAATATCATTATTTTTAATTACAACATAAATTATTAAAGTAAAAACTTTATGTCATTTTAAATGTAATTAATGCATGTTTTCATTTAAGGATAATTAAAAGATATTGTACTTTTTTATAATCCTCTAAAAATTTTCACAAGTTTTAAATCGTTCACAGTATCTTCCTCAGATGAAATGTTAATTGTATATATTTTCCTGTCATTATTGGATTCATGGAATTTGATACGAAAATTGACTCCGTTGTACTGCAACATTGATTTTTAGCTCGACTATACGAAATATATGGAGAGCTGTCCTACTCGCCCCAGCGTCGGCATCCGCATCCATGTCCAGATTTCAGATTAAAGTTTTGATGCAGTAAAATAGTTTTCACTAAAACTTTTTCATGTGCTCAGGTATGAGATTCAAACTTCAAATATAAGAACTTATCATCAACCTTATGTTATGTGAAAGGTTCATAACTCTAGCACTAATATTTTCAGATTTATCTCCCCTTGAACTTAGATTTTTCCTTAAAAGTATTATTTTTAAATGTTACTTCTTTATTTTTTAAGGGATCATCTTCATACTTCAAATATATGTCCCTTATCATCAACCACATCTTATGTGACAAGGTTCATAACTCTAGCACCAATATTTTCAGATTTATCCCCCTTGAACATAGAACTTTCCATAAAAATATTATTTTTTACTGCCACGTCTCAATTTCTTAAGGGATCAATAACATACTTAAAATATACATTCCTTATCATCAACCACATCTAATGTGACAAAATTCATAACTCTAGCAAGAAATATCTATTTACTTGAAAATGTTATTTTTTACTATAACTTCTTTTGGTTTTACAGGTATCTACCTCAAGCTTCAAAAACATATTCCTTATCATCAACCAGGTCTTATGTGCAAAGGTTCATAACTATTGAAGCTATATATTCAGCTTTATCTCCTTTTTAACTTCGAATTTTCTTTATGAAATTTTATAACTTCTTCTTTACTTTTTAAGGTATCTACATCAAACTCAAATATATATTTCTTATCATTTCACACTTGTTGTGTGACAAGGTCCATAATTCTAGTGTGACTATTTCCAGAATAATTCTCCCTTGAACTTGGAATTTATGTTAACAAATGTTATTTTTTTACTATAACTTAATCATTATTATACATAATTGATTTTTTTTATACATAATTGATTTTTTTCATAGTTTTGTCTTTCTTACTGCTTCCAGTATTTTATTAGTCTAGCTTCGCTGTCTCCTGTAACAGCTCTTGTTACTATTACTTCTTTATTTGTGAAGGGATCAACTTTATGCTTCAAATATATGTTCCTTATCATCAACCACATCATATGTGACAAGGTTCATAACTCTAGCACCAATATTGCAAGAATTATCTCCCTATAAACTTATATTTTTTTACTTGAAAAATGTTATTTTTTACACTTGAAAAATGTTATTTTTTACTATAACGTCTTTAGTTTTAAAGTATCTAACTCAAACTTCAAATACTTATTCCTTATCATCAATTACATCTTATGTGACAAGGTGTATAACTCTTGAAGCAATATTTTTCATATATATCCCTTTGAACTTAGAATTTTCTTTAAGAAATATTATTCTTTTATTATTACTTTTCAAGGTATCTACTTCAAACTTCAAATATATTTTCTTATGATTGCACACATGCTTTGTGACAAGGTCCATAACTCTAGTGTCACTAGTTCCTGAATTATTCCCCCCTTGAACTTGGAATGTATGTTAACAAATGTAATTTTTAATATAACTTCTTGTCATAGGATAAGAGTTATAAAATGCAAGCCCCTGTATTCCCAGAATTATCTCAATTTAATTTTTGAACTTAAAATTAATTTGTAAATTGATTTTTTTAGATTATCTTTGTTATTATAAATAGTATCTACTCTAGACTTAAGATAAATAATTGTTCTTTGTCATTACTCACATCATGCATGACAAGGTTCTTAACTGTAGCATCTTTTTTCAAGAGTTATTTTCTCTTTGATATACTGATACTGAAATATATTTATATCATAATTGATTTTTCTTTTATCGTTTTGTCTTTTTTACTGCGTCCAGTATTTAATTAGTCGAGCTTCGCTGTTTCCTGTGACCGCTCTTGTTTCAAGTGTATACACTTCAAATGTTTAAATTGTACAGGAAACACTTGTGTTGCAAACACTTTAAGAAAATTTATATTGAATGTATTAAATTTAAACTTTAAATTTTGCCCTTAAAAACAGCTCCTAGAATCTCTAATCCCTTTCTCATCATGACAAAAGTTTTAATCATATAAAGCTCAGCTAGTTTATTTTTGCACATGTTAACCTATATTTTAACATAAACTGCGGCGCAGGAGTGTATTAAAGCCATTTAATAAAAACGTGACGTCATTTGCGCTATATAGAAACTATGAAAGGGTATTAAAGCAAAAATCTTGCATTCTGACTTGTACATCTTGCATTCTGACTTGTACACCTTGTATTCTGATTTTAGATGTTGCTTTCTTACACATGCATATTATGCTTTCTGCTGTGTGCGTCTTGCTTAATTGTATGTTGATATCGTTATTTAACGATCAATTTTTATTCATTTGTTGATCTGGTATATTATTTCAATAACTTAACCTGCAACTGTTTGTATTTGGGTTTATTTACTCAGCTTGCATGACGAATGTCATAAGGTAGAATGACGCATTGCCGAAAGCCGAATGCAGCAAGCATAATATGACGCGACATCTGGTGTGATACCCAAATTATGCTAACAGGTGTCGGTTCAGTTATATTCTCGGTAAAGTCCGTATTGAGTTCGGATTCAGTTTACAAAATTACGTCCCTTTGTTTAAAAATTTCCATTTCCACTATGGGGGAAATAAGGTAAACATATATACAAAACGATTTAACCAATTTTTGTATACAAAGATCTCAGTATATCGGCTAGTCTCGGAGTGTCGCACCTTGACAGCCGAGGTGGTGTAATAGGTGGTAATGTTGATCTACAGAGCATCCCCACTTACAGTGAGTACTGACTTTACCTCAACATAGAAACTTATACTTGGGACAACTATGAATTTGCTATATACCTTTGTAACAATTGTTGAGACAAAATATATTATTTTGTGAAAAAAATAATTCTATAAATAACTTTTTATATACTTGTATACTGGTGCCTCGTATTTCCGTAGTACCCATATTTCAGTTGTTTTACTTTTACTATTTTATTGTATTTTTATCGGAATATTACATGTAGAACTAAAAAAAATATTTTTTTCAGATTAAGAGCAATGTTATTTAATATTTCACCATTTTTCTTTTAGATTGCATACCTTTTAAGAAAATCTTTTAAAACTGTTAAAAGTGTAATTGCTTTAGAAATGTGAGAACACAAATTTACTGACAAGACAGCAGATGGGTGTTAATTACAATGTTATATACATAATTGCTTACATGCAAACATTAAATGGAATACACTATGATGCAATTGACATGTCTATTCTACAATATTCACTGTGTTTTCCAAAATTATATCCTCTTAACTTTTGTTGTCTGCATTAAACAGTTAAGTACCACGGAAATATGAGGCACCAGTACTATATGTTGTGTTTATTGAGTTTAGAGGAAAACATTTTGATAAAAGATAAATATAAATGCTTTTGACAACTATTCTATTTAATTTCATACAGTTGAATGTAATGAAGACCCAAAGCTGAATAAAGATCCATTACATGAAGCAGGTGTTTCCGTGTATGCTATAGCTAGAAGGTAGAGTTGATTATATGGGATCAAGCGTCGTGATGACACGGCTCAGTAACATGAGTCTGAGTGTAAGAGATGAATGGAAAATTGATAAAACGCAGGAGAAGATGGATGCCCCACTTTCGACAACGAGGTAACAAAGTAATTTATTATGCTCCCCTTCAAAGAAGTGGGTATATTGCTTTGCATTTGTCGGTCCGTCAGTCCGTAGACCAAATGGTTTCCGAGTGATAACTAAATAACACTTAGGCCTAGGAACTTCAAACTTGGTATGATGATTGTTCATGACAAGCAGATGACCCCTATTGATTTTGGGGTCAAGGGGTCAAAGGTCAAGGTCACATTGACCTTGTAGGTAAAAACGATTTCCAAGTGATAACTAAAGAATGCTTAGGCCTAGGAACTTTAAACTTGGTATGATGATTGTTCATGACCAGCAGATGACCTCTTTTGATTTTGGGGTCAAAGGTCAAGGTCACATTGACCTTGTAGGTAAAAATGGTTTCCGATCAATAACTAAAGAACACTTGGGCCTAGGAACTTCAAACTTGGTTTGATGATTGTTCATGACCAGCAGCAGATGACCCCTATAGATTTTGGGGTCAAGGGGTCACAGGTCGAGGTCACATTTACCTTGTAGATAAAAACAGTTTCCGATCAATAATTAAAGAACGCTTAGGCATAGGAACTTCAAACTTGGTATGATGATTGTTCATGACCAGATGATGACCCCTTATGACTTAGGGGTCAAAGGTCAAGGTCACATTGACCTTGTAGGTTAAAAACGGTTTCCAATTAATAACTTGACATCCCATGGTCTGTTGGCCCTCAAATTTTGAAGGTGCATTGGTATTGGCCGGTAGGTGACCCCTAACGATTTTGGGGTCAGGGGAACAAAGGTCAAGGTTGCATTGACCTTGTATTTCAAAACGGTTTTCTATTAATAACTGGACAGCCCATGGACCCTTGACCTTCAAGCTTTACAGATGCATTACTTTTGGTCAGATGATGACCTCAATGGATTTTTTGGTGTTAAGGGATCAGAGGTCAAGATCACATTGACCTTATAGGTAACAACACTTTCTGATCAATAACCAAACTCAAGGGCCCTTTACCTTCAAACTTCACAGGTGCATTTGTAATGGCCAGTAGATAACCCTATTGATTTAAGAGTCAAAGGTCAATGTCATATTGACCTTGTATGTAAAGACTGTTTCTGACCAATAACTCAACAATTCAAGATGCCTTGGTTTATATTTTTTTATCAAACCAAAAAGCCTTTTGGTATACACATTTCAAGGTCTTATGTAATATAACAACTTGGCTGTCATTAATGAGGCCTACATGAGTCATAACATTTATGCATATATTATTTGGTAAGATTTGACATAACTTTGTCATAAAATTGCTGCACACAACCTTTGCACTCACAAGTACCTAGTGCTAGTCATATCGAGTAATTAACCCTTATTGATTTTTTGGTCACTAGGTCAAAAGTCAGTCATAACAACCTAATCACATGACTAATTGGCTGCCGATAGGGGGCACACATGTTTTACAAACATATCTTGTTATTAGTTATTAACTATGATTTATGACAGGTTATATGCCACAATATTAAGTTACAAACATTCAGTTTTACAGTTATGCTTAGAAATCTTTATGCTGTAAAGTGCTTAACACAAAGCTTAGCTAAAGAAAGATCAATGAGTTAACCTAGGCACCCAATCCTGCTTAGCTGGAGCACTGAAAAACAACTCAACACGAGAAAATGAAAGAAAATATATGATAGTTAAATGTGTTTAGAAGAATACATTGTGACTTTCGAAATTTTGGACTTCTAAACGCTCGAAACTTTTGAAATCTGAACAATTTTAGGGTCCCGAAATTTCTCCTCCTTCCTAAGTAATTAATAACTCTTAATTAAGGAAGTTCTAAATTCTGAATTCAGATTGATTTTCTGATGAAGTTTATGATATATCAATGATGAAGTTTATGATGTATCAATTAAAATTTACTTCCAGAATCCGAAAATTAAAAGAAGGTATGAAAGATTATCATGTCTCCCAAAATTTTTGGGAAACATTGCTTTTGCTCTTTAGCTATCCATCAATCCTTCTTTGTGTTAGTCCACATTAAGCTTGTCCAGCTTTTATAACCAATTAGTGGTAACACCATATGAGGTGCTCTAGCATTATGATAAGATATCTGTAATGATGTTACATTGCCTTGCAGGACAGCCTTGTTGTTTGCACATGGTGATCTGAAGTGGGATAAATTCCATATTTTGATCTCGCACTCCACAACACCAGATCTTATTAAAATGATATCAAAACTAGATGAGTTCATAATGCAACAGTTCACGAGCAGTAAACGTGCGTTAGGGGCCATCGGGCCGATGTCAGGTAGCGGGAGACTAAAAGCTCATGACAAACATAGATCAGCAGATGAAGAATCTTGTAAGTTAATTTTGTCAATAATTTTGTATATACTTCAGTCGCTTTGAAATAAATATACTTAAATATTTCTTTCATACAAGTCTATTGTTTTTATGCCCCCAAAGGAAGGCATATTAAAATCGCACTGTCTGTCTGTCTGTGCCTCCCCACTTCATTCGTGTCCGGACTGTAACTTTGTCATACATTGGGGGATTTTGAAATCATCACAGTTTCTGATTTGCCATACAGAAGCACATAAAAAATTGTCAGACTGGAACCCAGGCTATATGGTAGCTTTGAAATGAATTGTTGTGTGGACATTCCTATAGATAAACATTTGGATAGTTCTGATTTTCTTGGAGAATTAAATTGTTGTTTTTTTCTATCTCTCAATATTATTTTAAGATTTGGATTAATTATCATGGAGATTATAACTTAAATTGTCTTAAAAATACTTTAATTATATCTGCTGAATGTCTTTATTATTGTTGTTGTTGTTTCAGTGCTATCAGAGCTGCGTCATCACCGGCACTGGCAGAAGGCACTGAGTAACATTACTGGTTGTAGGTTCTCCATGCTGCCAACCATGTTACCCAAGGAGGGTATGATTCTCGGTGGAACATTGACCTTGCGGGGTAACAACTTGACCTTGGGTTGTTTCCATGGAATCAACTTTCGCTCCAAGTCGTGGGCATTGTTTACAATGAGTGAACCGTACATTTGCTTTGCAACAGAAGCTTTGAAAACAATTGACGAAGGTATTGTTTGTTAAATTCTAATGACTTGTCTCTGTGTGGGTCTGTCTGCTTAGCTCAATAGGTAAGAGAATCAGATAAGTAATCCAAGTGTAGCTGGAGAGGCATAATTTTTCTGTGACAGTTGATCTTGGACATTGAGTCAAATGGTCATAATGTTTCACTGCTGAATCATGTGGGAGTGGTAGGCGATCACTTGCAAAGAAATAAGTTATTTCCGGTTAGTGAGGAAATATACACAACAATCATGGGGATGTGGCATTAGTATATAGACAGTTTATCCATCAGAAATATCTGTGCAATCTGACAAGACTTTATAATAATGTCTGCCCAATTTAAGTTATTTTTGAGTTTTGACATTGAACTGCATCAACCCTTTATTCTGATCTTATTTTTACATGAACTTTGAATTTCAGGAACTCATATTGTGCAGGACCTTACATTCTATGTGGGTCATGACCTCACATCTCACCAGGAGAAGAATATGGCAAACGTTCTGAAGATCTCACGGGGACATTCAATGCCACCGACATTTACTAATGCCCATGAGTGGTTCCATTATGCCTTCTCTAACACAGAAATTAAAGGTGAAGTAAAAAATGTGAAATATTCGTACTCACAACTTAACACTACTGTTTCTGCTCAACAATACATTCATATTCCGCTTATATACATGTAGTTGCTTGGCACTGCTGAATCAATTTGGAATATTAATGTTTCAATGCTTTAAAACAAGGCATACTTGTAGAGTAGGAAACACATATATGTATGATTATTTGTTTAAAGTTGATCACACACACACAGGTTTTTGGTGCATAATGCTATCGTGAGAATTTGTTATTTTTTGCAATAATGTATTCTCTTAATAAAGAATCCATTTAAAAGAACATACTTTTAAATGAGTGTTAGAATACATTAAAATAATGAAGAACAATATTTTGTAGATCTCGAGTCGTTTCCAAGAATGCAGCGTGCTGGTAGTGAGAGTCCATCAGATTATCGTAAACGTAAATACATGGATTATAATCATGATTGTGAGATGATATTTGCCTTACCATCTCTACAATTACAGCTTAGAACCACACATCAACAGTCAGAACAGGAACCAGTCGATGATGGTATGTCTAAAAATAGAATATACAAGTTTTTGTGGGGTTTTTTTGTTGTATGTTGATTAAAGGTCGTGTACATAGTAATTTGTGATGGAAACAAGACTTAGAGCGATTGACTATCTGTCACAGTATTTCATAAGTCAAAGGTCAAGGTCACTAGAGATGATAACATATTCAGATATTGCCTGGAGCATATCTTCTACATGCATGGAGGAATTCAATGTAACTTTATAGAATTGTTCTTTTCCATGAGATGTAGTTTCTAAGCGCGAGTTAGGTCTCTAGGTTTAGGTCACACAAAAATTCAGGTCAATGCAACCAAGGTCAAGGTCAAATATATAGGTAAACTTTTAGATAAAATACAAAAGTATATCATAGGAACCAACTTGCTTGCCACACATCTTATTGCTTACATCACCACCAAAAGCTTTTGATGGGTGTATTTTGTGATTTTGTCTCCTTTGTTAAAACCTAAATTTTAAACCATATATCACTAACTATATCTAGAACATAAACTTTTCGTTCCTATTTCTTATAACACCTACACCAGTTGTTAACTATTGATATTTAAGATAAATTACTAAGTTTGAATATAACCCATTTGTGTCTTTGTTACTGTATTTAGATGATAAACCATTTGTCATTTTTTCAGATCCAAAACCAGTTGTAGAGTGTAGTTTTGTGACAGAGTTTGAGGACCATATTTATGTTGCCATGGATGCAGAAGTTTTCCTATTCTTACATGACCTTGTCATGGCATATATTTCTGAAAAAGATAAAGGTAATTTGGCTGTGAATTTGTGCAATTTAACCATTCTGTCTGAGTTTTGAACATTTTTAATCTAGGAAACACCTTTTTTCAATGGTTATTACATGGTTAGCATAGGTTATGACACTGGTGGCATAGGCAATATCAATTGTGGATTAGATTATAACACTGATGATAAACATAAGTGACATAGCTTATTACATTGTTAACATTGGTTATTCTGTTGGTAGCATGAGTGATGACACTGGTGGCATAAGTTATTACAATTATAACATAGGTTATTATATTGTTAGCATACATGTAGGTTATTATACTGCTGGCATAGAAAATTAAACTGGTGACATAGGTAATTATACTTGTGGCATAGAAAATTAAACTGGTGGCATAGGTAATTATACTTGTGGCATAGAAAATTAAACTGGTGACATAGGTAATTATACTTGTGGCATAGAAAATTAAACTGGTGACATAGGTTATTATACTGGTGGCATAGAAAATTAAACTGGTGACATAGGTTATTATACTTGTGGCATAGAAAATTAAACTGGTGGCATAGAAAATAACTTTACTGGCATAGGTAAGTCATTATGGTCACTCATGCTAGAAGGGTCTCTTTCTGTTTATTTAATAGCAGATTATTTTATATTCTTAATGTACAACCCCTATGAGAATTGACTGTAATATTATGGAAACAGCATAATAATGCTGTAGCATAATGATTCTGTTTTTAAATTTTATGAAAATATATTAGAGATTCATCTATTAGAGATTCATCTAAATAAAAGTTGAATGATTTAAATGATATATGCTATTATCAATATAGGTGCTCGTTCATCAGTAGCAGGGACAGGTGGCAAGTCGGCAAAGTCTCAGGCCGAGACCAAGAAAAAGGAAATAATTGATCCAGTAACCGTGTTACAACAAGACTGGCGAGAATATGAATGTAAAACATGGCACCTGGAACCAACTGTCAGGTATGGTTACTTTAAGTATTCTTTCTAGCCTCTGGCCCAATTTTCAGAAAGGGATCACGATCAAATTCTATGTCCACTGTAGTATTTCTAGAGCGGTTGCCCTTGAATTAGTAAAAAAACTGCAATTTTCAACATCTCAAAATGTATTTGACCTAGAGCCATGCAACTTTACTGACATGTTGGTCTGCATGTGTAGTGTTTTGCACCTTGGGGTTTGATTGTAAATTTATTCAGTATTTATAGAGTAATTGCCCTTGACATAAAATCTATTTCAAAATGTTGTGTTATGGGTACCTTGAGTGCTTGAGTTAGAATCATGCAACTTTACAGGAATGATGATCAACATCACTGTGACGCTGTGCATCTGGTTTTTTGTGTGTGGATTTTTTTCAGTTTTGTTTGAGTTATTGCCCTTGATTTAGTATAAACTTGCCATTTTCAACTTGTTCATGCATAGCTCAAAAATGTATTTGATCTGTAGGCCTGAAAAATTACAAGAATGTTGGTCAGCATGTGTACTTATGCACTTTGGGGTTTGCTTGTGGATTTATATAGTATTTGTAAAGTTCTTGCCCTTTACTTAGCATTCAGCATCATAGCATACAGTGTTAAAAAATAATTTTTTTAGCATATCAAGCATTTTCTATATATCATTGGTGTTTCTTTAAAAAAACACTTGAATCTCTAGTATTAAACTGGGCAGGCATTGTTATAGTTAAATTTCAGATTTCCTCTTTGCATTATTTCTGGAAGACCTTCCTTATGCTTAAAATGTTTACCTTTTGAAGTGAGAAAGTATTTGGTTTTGATGAAGGAAATGAAAAGTAATAATGAAGAGCTCCTGTTGGCCATTTTAATAACACTTTTGTATTTATTTTCAGACTTCTTCACTGGGCCAGTAAGCAGATAGATCCTGTTGGTGTGGATTATATTCTTCAGAAGCTTGGTTTTACCCATGCCAGAGTTACAATACCTAAATGGATGCAGCGAGGTTTCATGGATCCGTCTGATAAAATTCTTTCCATGCTTGTTAACAAAATGATAGTCATGTTACGGGATGCCCCTAATGCAGAATCTCCTAAAAAGACTTGAAGTAACATGATGAAGTAACATAATTAAACAAAAGTGTTTACATTATGATGAGACATTATTGTATGAGACAGTATATTTAATCTCTTATACAAAACTTTAATCTGAAAGTGCTTTTAAACGATTTTATTTTGGAAATGTAAAAAGGTATTGTATCTCTAAATTATAACGATATTCAAGGACTGAATCAAGGATTTTATTGATATTTTAAAGAAACAAATGTATTCAGGAATTATCATTCTAGTTATAAAGATTTTTCACAGGATATATGACTTAGTATAACCAGTTATAATCTTACAATTAATGAACCACAATACAATGATTATATAGCAAATTAAACCACATCGCCTGTCAAAATCTTTGTATCAAATTGATGATACTGCACTATTATTTGCATTATTTAAGATACATTTATGGAGCAGCTGTGTATAATTATGGATAATACAATTGTCCAATTAAAATTGATGTTACAATCATGCAGTATTATAATATGTATCTACAAAATTTGTATTCATTATTTGACATTGTCTTTCTGATAACCCAGTAGTAAACTGGTCTGCAGGTGTGACTTGAATTCCTTTGATGACATAAATTTATAAACATGACATAATTTTACTAGGTGTTTATAGGGTGTAGATGTATGTACATGTAATAACATTCTAATTAGAGAAATGATATGGCAAAAAAACTTATTGGAAGTTAATAGATTTTGAAATATGCCTTTTTGGAGAACATGTTAGAAAAATATACATATAAATCAAACAATCAGGCGTAATATTTTTGTTTTACAGCCTTTTGTCTATGACTTTGTACGACATCCCTCGTATAAATCACACAATTAGGTCACTTCAGTGTTGTTATATTTTTCTGGTCCTTCGGGATCATTGATGCCAGCACTATTAAGTGTTGAGAATTGATTACCGCTCAAGCCGGTGCTAGGGGGCGTAAGGGATGTTGCACTTATTCATTATCCCTCATGTACAGACTCAATCAAACCGAGTCTGCAATTCTTATGTATTTTTGTTGTGATTAATGCTTCCGAGGGATCACTTTGTTTCCAGATTTTTAGATGATGTGAATGAGAAGCTGTTAAGTTTTCGAGGATTGCTTTGAAAACAATTTTTAGTAAATACAAACAAACAAAAAAGCTGCATGTATCATTCAATTACAATCACATATTAGAATAAACATGTACATAACCAATCCTCGAACACTTAACATCAAACAATTTGTTTTCTGTTAATTTTAGATGATGTTTTTATAAGTAGTATGGGATTTTTCACTATTATATTATTTTGTATAATTTCAAAGGGACAGAATTATAAGTGTTGTGGTTTTACCTTAAATGTTACTTTTCCATTTGCTCAATATATCTTTATGTAATTTCTGCATAATATTCAGTTTCATACCGTTTATACATGTAGTAATTATATTTATTGTTTAGGTTATTTTCGTATTTTGTTTGTAATAAGGAAATTCTATTTATAGCAATTGTATTTAAAATATTTATTAAGTGTTCCCTGCTTAATTCTTTCAATGAATTTATTATGTTTTAAAATTTGAGCAGTCCGTTTTGGAATTTAAGGAATTTCATTAAAAAATTAAATATAAGAATAGAGTCTGGTAGATTTTCAGAGGAGGCTTTACACTGTTGACTTACTAATTTAAATTTTAATCATGATACCCCTAACTTGACAATGGACTGTTCCAGAAAATGGAATTTAGACCAGTCCATTAAAGACTTCAGTCGGATAAGGGCCGGTGATTTCTTTTTAAATATAAAAAATGAAAATCAATGTTTGAAGTGAAATTTGCAATGTTTGTTCTTTCTGTTTTGGGGTTAAATTATTGGAAAGTCTATTATGATTTTACAATTGTGAATAAATGGCTAGGTTTATCTTTGTACATATGAAATCTCCATATTTGAAAAAATAGATTCGTAGTTGGGTTGTATTGTTTTATTTTATATTTTCGTGATATTGAAAATATCAGAAATATGCCCTGGTTTATATTCTGTAGTCGAGGATGGGTGGGGTAACAAATATATACCTGTCAAAGTGCAATACTGTATAGATTTTAAGACTTCTGGTTTTTTGTTCTGTCATGCTTTATATTGGATTTTTTTCTGTTTGTTATATGATTCCATTTGCATTTATTATTACCTCTAAGTAACTTTATGTTCTATTGTGTCACAAATTTTAGCATTTTTTTTTATATTTTTGTTTTGTTTTTGGAAGTGGCTAGCCGTACGGGTCCGTACGGCTAGCCAAAGGTTCTAGTCGTACGTGAGTCACGTACGACTAGCCAGGACACACTGTATTGGCTAGCCGTACGGCACTTTTCAAAATTATATGGTAGTCGAAATGCATATGTTTTTTATGACTTTAAGCCAGGATTTGTACAAGACACAGCAATTGTCTTCGTATGTTTACTTTTAAAAGATTAATCGCCTTGTCGGCTAGAGTAAAGAAAGTATACGAATACAGTATATATTTTTGTCATCTCAATACGTCGAGAAAAATAGCGTTTGGTTGCAGTTAAATAACATCAATTGAAATAGTTAACAAAACGTTGATATTTTTTTGTTTCATTAAGTTTAATTTTCAAATAATAATAAAAAAACGCCGAAGATAATTGCGTCAATTACCGACGGTATAGAAATTTGTCCATTATTAAAGAAAGTTTGCCTTAATTAAGGCTTTTAATTGATTGTGCTTTGATGTTCGATATTTAAAATTATCTATACTGTATTTGAAAATTATTAAATTATTTTTGCTTTTCACCGTTTTTTTTTCAGTATTCTTTTTATTTACTTACTTATTTATTTATTTATTTAATTATTAATTCCCCTCTGATCATTATTTATTCGATCCATGTGCTTAATTATCAAAAATGATTTAACAATTCATCTTTCATACAAATAAAACAACAAATCATAAGCATGAAAATCAAGGACGTTATAACTTAAAACATACAACTTAGACACTTTTATCAAAATACATTATACAACGCTTGTTCGTATTCATTTTTTTACAAAATGGCGGAGCATCTTTATTAAAGTGAACACACTAGGACAAATGCGGAGACTTGATTAAAATCCTCGTTTAAAGACACAAAATAACATATATGCATTTTCGACTTCCATATAATTTTGAAAAGTGCCGTACGGCTAGCCAATACAGTGTGTCCTGGCTAGTCGTACGTGACTCATGTACGGCTAGAACTTTTGGCTAGCCGTACGGGCCCGTACGGCTAGCCACTTCCTTTGTTTTTTGTCTCTTAAAATTGTCCAACACAATATTTTATTGGATACCTTGATCTTGTACAAGGATTATAGACAGTGACATTAATCTATTAAGGGTAACTTTAATCATTCAAAAGTTATATAGATTCTAATCTATTTCTGTATTAAGATGTTGCATTATCCGCTTGAAGTAATTTCAATTTTTCTGATAAATTATTATCTCCCTTGACAAAAGGGCAAATTATTAATTCTCCATTGTAAACAAAAATAATTGTGAAAGAAAATAATTGTCTTCCTTGACAATATATAGCAATTATTTTCTGCCTCAACAATAAAATTAATCATTGTCTCTCTTTAAAATATAGTATTTTAATTATCTTACTTAGCAACTGAACGAAAATAATTGTCTTCCCTAGCAACACATTAAAGTAAAAGCTTTATTAGCAACACAATAGATTTAGTGTCTGTCTTAGCATCACTTAGGAAGAAAGTTAAATAATCGTCTCTTAGACGAGTTGCGTCCGTGGATGAGTGGTTTATGTGGTTTTACTTCAAACCACTTGCTTCTCATCTCTGTAGGTCGAATCCTGCCAGGGACTTTGAATTTTTTCATGTGAGGAAGCTATATAGCTAAAAAAAAACTCTAGCAACACAATATAATTATTGTCTCTCTTAGTTGCAAATAAAAAATTGATGTACGTCCTTAACAAAACAATGAAATTATTGCTTCCTTAGCAACACAGTATGACCAGATGGTAAAGGCCCCTGACTTCGAGCCACCTGCCCCGCACTGCTGTGGGTTCAAGTCCCACCAGGGACATTTGATTCTTTCATGAGATCTCCCTCTACCAGTGTAAAGCTATAATGTCGCCATATAATTGTGTTACAATGTCGCCATATGATTGTTGCACAAACCTTGACTCTCTTAGAAACACAATTAAATCATTGTTTTGGGTTTTGTAATGCAAATAAAATAGTCTCCCATAGCAACACATAATAGTTGCTCTCCTAGCAACACAATGAAACTATTGTCTCTCAAAGCATTGAAATAGAATTATTGTCTCTTTTGATTGCAAATAAAATAATTGCCACTCTAAGCAACACATATAAAATTATTGCTTTCCTAGCAATACAATTAAATTATTGCCTGTAACATAATGAAATCATTGTCCTTGGTCTGAAAGAAAAATAACTGCTAAAAGTTTTCATTTAAACTGTAAGGACTGCTTTTACGTTGATTAAGTTCATGCAAGTATATTGTGAATAATTATTACAAGGAGATATATCTCACTCAGTGAGTTAATTATGTTTTAATTGGCTTTCAGTTTTTATAAGAAATTAAAAAATATATTCATGTACTTATATAGTTTCACATTTCATTATGAAATAAATAATTATGTTCAAATTTGTATATGCTTCATGTTTTTTTGCTGTTGTTCTGTATGTTGGTTCCTCCCTAATCCAAATAATGTACTACTGTAACAGCTACATGTTTATTTATTCTTCATTTATGTTTCCTACAAGATCAGTTTAATAACAATATACTTATGTAAAGTAAAAAAGTTATATATCACTTTAAATTATGTTGTAATGATTAGCAAATATTACAAGTTGATTTAATAGCTTGACAGCTTATACCTTCATGGTCTATGTATGATTTCCTTGTTATTGTTGATGATAATAAAGTCATATAATATATTGAAATTCAGAATATGTTTTTCTTTCTTTCTTTATCTTTTAAGCAGCAACAGACTCAATATATACAACCAGTGC